ACTCCGAAAATTACTTAATAATTTTCCCATTTTGCTTTTTTAGGCTGCCCTTTCTATTATTTATTTGTTCTTGTAAATATATGTTTTACACTTCTTTCTAATGATTTAGAAGGTTAAGGACCATGACCACCTATGACAATAACATTACCATACTCCCCCTATTGGTCATGGTCCAAGTATAAAACATGCATCTGTGTGTGTGTGTAGATTTACTGTTCCGTTCATCTCCAGTTGTTTCTCCCGGATCGTCCTCAATTCATATTGTGGGCTTTGGCGCCAAAGTAGAGGCTCATTTCCTTATGATCCATACTACTGTCATCCCTGAAGCAGGTGCAGTTCATCTTTCATCTGAAAAAGAAACATTAGAACACAAGAAATGCCCACTTTCCTCTCTTCGCATGGTGCAGCCTGTCAATCAATCCAATTGGGCAAAACATAACTACATTGACAGACGGTGTGTGACATCAGGGCAGAGGCTGTAGCCAAATGACGCGCTCACTGCGGTTGGACCGAATCACTGTCAGGACAAACAGCAGGGTGAGGGACTCCCAGTATCTTCAGCAAGGTATTCAACTCAGAGTACTTTCCACGCCAGATACTTTTCTCAGAGTACTCATCCCAGAGTACTCTCACTTTTACACCTGTTTCCTTAAAGTCTTGACTTAACAAAATGTATGCGTTAGTATATTGGTCCATGAGTTTGTTAAGGTCAACGTAGTGTAACTTGACATGACGCACAAACATATAACATACACAAACATATAACACACACAAACATATAACACACACAAACATATAGACAACACAGGAGGCCTGTAATTTTAACTTTGTTATATTTTTCCATGTCCAATTACAATTGTCTCATGAGCTATTTCTATTGTTGCAACTTTCAGAGCCTGCAGAACATACAGAGCTTTGAGAGATTTTTCCTTAAAAGGATCCATTTCAAACTTTAGTGTTTAAACCACGTGGTCTGTACTCGGGCTTGTCACAGACTGTGTCCCCTATATTTTTAATGAGCTCTTGTTACTTAAAAAAAACTCATGCACGTGCAATAAATGTTTTTCCCTTTTTTTTTTAAAGCCAGTTCGGATTCCTTAAAAATGTAAATTAGTTTCAAACTTTAATACTTCACCTTTGTTTCACGTTCATGTGGAGAAAAGACCATTGTTCTTATGTGTGTTGTCGTACTTGCACCAATCATGTCTCAAATAAACTTCCAACAGTTATATTAAAGACATGACTGTCCTAATTGTTTCTAATTTAGCTATTTGGAAGAGAAACATGTCATAAAAGATTTCCTAAAATGTCCCTACATCCGTGTTTTCAACCAATGAACAGTGTTGCGTCAATGTGTTATCAGAAATGATCCAAAATCACCTTTAGCCAAAATTTAGAAATGCTTTAAATTAACATGCGTATATTCAAGTGGTAACCATGGAAACGGTTGAGATCCCTTCCATTCAGTCGTCAAAAAACGCATATAGAAAATATACAGGCAATGTTTTTACAGAGGTTTGAACCGGGCCACGCTTGGGAAAAGGATGGATATGGCCTTTGAAGTGAAAGTAAAAGTATAACACGGCTCAGTGCTTTGTTACCTGTGGCTAAGTTTATTTCATTACCAATATATACAAAAAACAAAATGAAAAGTTAAATGACGATATCGAACTGAACTCATTTGAACTATATCTGATATTTGTTGTTTTTTCTGTTAAGATGTATGTTTAGGTGAGAGAATTACTATTTCACTGTTTAGACCAGAGAGAGACCAGAGAGACCAGAGAGAGACCAGAGAGAGTAGACCAGAGGAGAGACCAGAGAGAGAGACCGAGAGAGACAGAAGAGGCCAGAGAGAGGCCAGAGAGAGGCCAGAGAGAGAGGCCAGAGAGAGACAGAGAGGAGACAGAGATTGAGAACCGAGAGTGAGACCAGAGAGAGAGACCAGAGAGAGACAGAGAGAGACCAGAGAGAGGCCAGAGAGAGAGGGCCAGAGGAGAGACCAGAGTGAGGACCAGAGAGAGAACAGAGAGAGACCAGAGAGAGAGGCCAGAGAGACCAGAGAGAGACCCAGAGAGAGAGGCCCAGAGAGAGGAGACCTGAGGGAGACACCAGAGAGACATCCAGAGAGAGAGCCCAGAGAGACCAGAGAGAGACCTGAGCAGAGACCAGAGAGACCAGAGAGAGAGAAACCTGAGAGGACACAGAGAGACACCAGAGAGAGAGACCAGAGAGAGAGACCAGGGAGATGAGACCAGAGAGAGACCAGAGAGAGCCCAGAGAGAGGACTCAGAGAGAGAGACCAGAGAGAGAGTCCAGAGTGGAGACCCGAGAGAGAGACCAGAGAGAGACCTCATGAGAGAGACCCAGAGAGAGACCAGAAAGAGCCCAGAGAGAGCCAGGAGAGAGTACCAGAGATGAGACCACAGGTCTGTTAGCATTTTCTGATCCGTCGTCGACCGAATCGACAACTTGGTAAAGTCCTTTGACGAGGCTAAAAAACATAGAATAGAATTGTTGTGATGAAAAAAAAGTTAAACAGTATTTATTAGAAACTTAAAGCTGCTGAAACCTTAAAAGTTTTGTTTCGAGACTGAAATGTTGTTTGTCGCGATAGAAAAAGTGTGAGAAATGTGTTTATTGTGGATAACAATCCGAGTCATCTCCCAGGGCATTGTGCTGACGTTAGATCCAACAGTCCCTGTGAGTCACTATTGAATCCTTTGGGCTCAGACAGAATTAAGTATAGATTTTTACATGAGCTTTGAAAATAGAGACACAGCTTTTAAGTCTCGCACCAAATGTTAATGCTATAAGAACCACGTGGACACTATGAGGAGCACAGGGGACTGGCTCTCTCTGCTGTGGACTCTGAGGAGAACGGGACTGGCCTCCTGCTGGGACTTGAGGCGCACAGGGGAGCTGGCCTTCCTGCTGGGACTTGAGGGAGCACAGGGACTGGCTCGCTGCTAAGATGTGGAGCACAGGGATCTGGCCTCCTGCTGGGCCTGAGGAGCACAGGGAATGGCCTCCTGCCTAAGATTGAGGAGCAACATGGGCTGGCCTCTGCTAAAGACTTGAGGAAGCACAGGGACTGGCCTCCTGTGGGGACTCTGAGGAGCACCAGGGACTGGCCTCCTGCTAAGACTGTAGGAGCACAGGGACTGCCTCCTGCTGGGACTCTGATGGCACGGGGTTGCTCCTGCTGGGACTGAGGAGCACAGGGACTGGTCTCTGCTGGGACTGAGGAGCACAGGGAATGTGGTCTCCTGCTGGGGACTCTGAGGAGCAACACAGGGATGGCTCTGCTAAGATCTGGAGGAGCCACAGGGTTGGCCTCCTGCTGGGACTCTGAGGAGCACAGGGACTGGCTCCTGCTGGGGACTGAGGAGCACAGGACTGGCCCTCTCCAGATGGGACTTTTTCTTTGGGGAAGTGGAGCACTGGGACCTGGCCTCCTGCTGGGACCTGAGGAGCACAGGGGAAGGTCTCCTGGCTGGATGAGGAGACAGGGACTGGTCTCCTGCGGGGACATCTGTGGAGAACAGGGAATGGCCTCCTGCTGGACTGGGAGCACAGGACTGCCTCTGCTGGGACTCTGAGGAGCACAGGGACTGGCCTCCTGCTGGGACTCTGAGGAGCACAGGGATGCCCTCCTGCTGGGGACCCTCTGCGAGACAGGGACTGGTCTCACTGCTGGTCCAGAGTCAGGACTAAACATGGGAGGCAGTGTTTCAGATTTTAGGCGCTAAAAACAGTCTTCCAGAAAAACGTGAGACGGGCCAATTTCAATCAGGTTAAAAACAGGATTTATTCCTGTACTTTCTGATTTAAAGCTTGTCTAGTGAGTTGCCGTGTGGGGACTGTGCTTATACCAATAACCTTGCCTAATGCTAAAGGGTTATGAACATCATGGACATCAGTGACTTTTCGCGTGCCGCGCACCAGCACTTTTTGTGTTACAATTATGAGCTAAACTTCTGAACCATCAAAACGGACTGAATAAATAATAACTTTGTACATGTAGATACGGATACAGGTGGGTAAAAAAAATAAGAGAATACAGTAATACATAAAGGTGTACAGAACCATGAACAGACCATGACAGAACCCATGAACAGAACCATGAACACGCTCAGAGCATGAGGCAGTCATTCTGTGTCCGTCCTAAAGAACAACAATGTCACATTGGTCCCCATAAGTGTTCCATCCACATGGGACGGCGTGCTCCGGTGTCTGGCCGTGACTGCCTTCTCTGATTGGCTGCGTTCTTAGTCCGTCCTGAGAACGAGGTACTTGTAGACAGAAGAAGCAGTTTGTTGGCTGGGGGACGTGAATGCTTCTCGGGCACTATGACGCCATTTTGTGTCCTCGGAATTCCACAGTTGCATCTTTGTGTTTTCCCCCGTTTGGATGATGGTTTATAGACAGGGGAGAGACCAGGGAGAGACCAGGTGATGATGACCTGGAGTGATGAGACCAGGGGCAGAGACCAGGGGAGAGATCAGGGGAGGGAGACCAGGGGGAGAGATCCGGTTCGTGAACTTTGTTGGTTTTTAGGACGGACACAGAATGGACTCCTCTGCTCGGCGTGTTCATGGTTCTTGTTCATGGTTCTGTTCATGGTTCTGTTCATGGTTCTGTTCACCTGTCTGTCTGTCTGTATTCTTTTATTTTTTACACCTGTATCCGTATCTTACATGTACATATGTTATTTTTATTTGTCGTTTGATGGTTCAGAAGTTTACTTCAAATTGTCACACAAAAAATGCTGGTGCGGAGTCGCACGCGGAAAAGTCATGAGGTCATATGTTCATAACCCTTTAGCATAGGCAAGGTTTTTGATATAGCAACAGTCCACACACTGGCACTCACGAGACAAGGCTTTAAATCAGAAAGTCAGGATTAAATCTGTTTTGTAACCTCGGATTTGATATTGCCCGTCTACGTTTTCTGGAAGACTGTTTTTAGCCTGCATAAATCTGAAACACTGCCTCCCCATGTTTAGTCCTGACTCTGGGACCAGCTGGAGCCCAGTCCCAGTGCTCTCAGAGTCCCAGCAGGAGGCAGTCCCTGTGCTCCTCAGAGTCCCAGCAGGAGGCCAGTCCTGTGCTCCTCAGAGTCCCAGCCAGGAGGCCCAGCCCCTGTGCTCCTCTAGTTTTCCCCGCAGGAGCCAGTCCCTGTGCTCCTCAGAGCCAGCAGGAGACCTGTCCCTGTGCTCCTCAGTCCCAGCAGGAGACCAGTCCCTGTGCTACCTCCAGTCCCAGCAGGAGGCCAGTCCTGTGTCCTCAGAGTCCAGCAGGAGGCCAGTCCCTGTGCTCCTCAGTCCAGCAGGAGGCCAGTCCTGTGTCCTCAGAGTCCCAGCAGGAGCCATCCTGTTGCTACCTCAGAGTCTTAGCAGGAGGCCAGTCCCTGTGCTCCTCAGAGTCCCCGCAGGAGACCCAGTCTGTTGATCTCAGTACCAGCAGGAGACGGTCCCTGTGCTCCTCAGTCCCAGCAGGTGAGGGCCAGTCCCTGTGCTCAGCAGAGTCCAGCAGGAGGCAGTCTGTGCTCCTCAGTCTTAGCAGGAGGCCAGTCCCTGTGCTCCTCAGAGTCCCAGCAGGAGCTCGTCCCTGTGCTCCTCAGAGTTCTTAGCAGGAGGCCAGTCCCTTGCTCTCTCAGAGTCTTAGCAGGAGGCCAGTCCCTGTGCTCCTCAGTCAGCAGGGAGGGCCAGTCCTGTGTCCTCAGTCTTAGCAGCCGAGGCCAGTCCACTGTGCCTCCTCAGAGTCCCAGCAGGAGGCCAGTCTCCCTGTGCCCTCAGAGTCCAGCAGGAGGCCAGTCCCTGTGCTCCTCAGGTCACAGCAGGGAGGCCAGTTCCCTGTGCTCCTCAGAGTTCCACGTGGTTCTTGTAGCCATTAACATTTGGTGCGAGACTTTAAGAGTGTGGTCTTCTATTTTCAAAGCTCAAGTAAAAATCTAAGATTATTTTGTCTGAGCCCAAAGGGTCAAATAGTGGGACTCACAGGGACTGTTGGATCACGTCAGCACAATGACTGGGGAGATGACGTCGGATTCTATCCACAATAAAACACAATTTCTCACACACTTTTTCTATCGCGTACAAAAACAAAATTTTCAGTCTCGAAACAAAACTTTTAGGTTCAGCAGCTTAAGTTTCTAATAAATAATGTGTAACTGTTTTTCTCACAACCATTCTATTCTGTGTTTAGCTCTTCAAAGGACTTACAAAGTGGTCGATTCGTCGACACGATCAGAAATCAAAAAGGACACAGTGGTCTTTCTCTATGGTCTCTCTCTGGTCTCTCTTGAGTCTCTTTTAGGTCTCCTCTCTGGTCTATCTCTGGTCTCCTCTCTGGTCCTCCTCTCTATGGTCTCTCTCTGGTCTCTCTCTCTGCGTCTTCTCTCTCTGGTCTCATCTCTGGTCTCTCTCTGGTCTCGTCTATGGTCTCTCTCCCTGGTCTCTCTCTCTGCGTTCTCTCTCTCTGGTGTCTCTCTGGTGGTCTCTCTGGTCTCTTCCTCTGGTCTTCTGGCTCTCTCTGGTCTCTTCCCCACACCCTGGTCTCTCTGGGCTCTCTCTCTGATTGTCTCTCTGGTTGTCTCTCTGGCTCTCTCTCTGGCCTCTCTCTGGTCTCTCTCTGGTCTCTCTGGCCTCTCTCTCTGGTCTCTCTCTGGGTCTCTCTTCTGGTCTCTCTCTGGTCTCTCTCTGGCCTCTATTCTCTGGCCATCTCTCTGGAGTCTCTCTCTGGTATCTCTTGGTCTCTCTCTTGGTCTCACTCTCTGGTCTCTCTCTGGTCTCTCTCTGGTCTCTCTCTGGCCTCTCTCACTGGCCTCCCTATGCCTTCTTGGCCTCTCTTAGGTCTCTCTCTGGTCTCTTCTGGTCTCTCTATGGTCTCTCTCTCTGGTTTCTCTCTGGTCTCTCTGGTCTCTCTTGGTCTAACAGTGAAAAATAGTAATTCTCACTAAACCAAACATCTTAACATAAAAAACATCCTATATCAGATATAGTTTCAAATGAGTTCAGTTCGAATCTCATTACATTTCAGTTATTTATTTTGTATAAATTGTATGAAATAAACTTTTAGCACAGGTACAAAGCACTGAGCCGTGTTAAACTTTTACTTTCACTTTCAAAGGCTCATAATCTCCTTTGCCCGCGTGGCCCGGTCAAACCTTGGCAATTGCTGTATATTTTTATATTTAAAAAATTTTGCTGTTTTTTGCCGACTGAATGAAGGATCTCACCGTTTCCATGATTACCACTTTGAATATACGTTCATTTTAAACCAGTCTCCTCCTCCCCTCCTTACGATGCAGATTAAAGGGAAATGTCTGGGAGTTTTTGATATATATTTTTCTCCCATTTTCTGGATGAAAACCAGGAAAGCCTTGTGTCTCATGTTGGGGTTTGTGTGCCAGGATCCTGGTTGCTGTTTCTTCTTCTTGGATTGATGTTTTCTTTCTAACGATTCATTATTGGTCGGTTCTTGTACGGCTGCGCTGTACGAATGTGTCCACAAAGTCCGTTTCTCACTTGGCATAAAGTCATTTTTTAAATTAATATTGGGTTGTTTTTGTGGTTTGTGCTGATTGACAAGGGGGCGGGGGTCTAGCTATGATGCCACAGATCGGAGAGATTGACCCGGAGCGTTCTGTGAGGGTCCTGAGCAGAAAATTAGAGTGAAAAGTGATGAGAAAAATAGTCTAAAAAATGCTGAAATTAGGCAAAACATGTGTCTTAATTTGGGATTAGATCGATTTAAGAGTTTTTTAAAGACTTTTTCAAGTGTATCTGTCTGCGGCTGCAGTGACGGAGGCGTGTCGAGTAGTGGGCGTGTCGGTAGATGACGTCACTACTCGACACGCCCAACTCCGCGTGTATGAGCATGGATCGATTATATTACGGGTATGAGTGAGTAGTGAGTACTATCTATGCCCAATGAATTTATGCGCAATAATGAATTTTATGGCGCCCTGTCATTGTCAATATTATTTATTTGGGGGAAATGGACGAATTTTGTAAAGATCAAAGTCGTTAATGTGCCTACAAAAGCTTGCATTACTTCAGACTATCAATCAATAGGGATTTGAAGCAGCTCAGGACAAACGTTATGAGTCAAATATTCAAGTGCTTATTTCTTATATGTGTACAGTCATTTATAACAGGGGCCTATGGTTGGTGGCTCAAATCCTGGCTGCCCCCAAGTGCAGTCTGGTATGTTCTTGAGCAATGCACTTCTCCACATGTGGTGGACATAGTGAGAGACTGCTTGGTGTGTGGGCCAATCAGCACAGATAGTAGCCTGGCATCTCCAACCCAGCTGTGACACACTGTGTGGAATAAATGAATAAAGTAGTGTGGGTTTTGAGAAATCTTGTCAACACAGGATTGAAAAGTACATTACAAGTTTAAGATTTTATTATCCACCACCACACCACCACACACTCCTACACCATGGTCTCCACATTACTGATCATAAAGAGAACATGCCATAACATTTTTGTGCCCAACCTTTGGCTTTTGGGACAAGCAGCATTCCATTACTATTGGGTTTTGTAAATTTGTATGTAGAAGAGGGACGATTAAACAAAAAGAACAAATTGTTTTTGTGAATTTTATGTACATGCTTTTTTATGAATTTGTGTTCTCTGAATGGGCTCTGAAAGGTAGACACTGTATAAAGTTCACACAAACCAAATTCTCTTTTATTATATTCAGAGAGAAGGCATCAGTGGAGAGCGCCAAATACTCATCTCTCTTGGGAAGCTTTCAGCCTCCCTGCTGGGCATCCTCTGAAATGCCTCACCAGATCATTTGCCATTCATTTTAATACTCACTGTCCATAATAGAACATCTCAAGATTAGATTGTGCAGTGCACAGTGAAATTGTCCATCAATATTTAATTTAATCTGTACCCATGGTTCATATTTGGGCCCTTTATGAATTTTTCAATTGCCTCTTGCGGAGGCAGTGAAAATGCCTCGGCAGAGAAATATGTGAACTGTACCTAGATAAGAGTAACACATGGTGTTACAGTCAACACCAACAGTTACCAAAACAAATGCAGCCCTAAACGGTGTTGTGTCCGGTTTAATATATTGTCAGTTGACTTGCACTTATGACTTTATGGTGCTGTACATCAACAATGTTGCACTGCGAGTTTTTAGTTACAGTGTACCGCAAGGGGGGGGGGAAAAACAGTTCCATGACAATGTTTATGTTTGAGGGGGTTCAGTGTTTTATGCACTACTTTCATTACATAGTCCTGTGCCAGCCTGGAGGCGCTGGCTACTATGTAAAACAAACATTATTTAAATCAGGCTATACTTCGGTAAGAGCGTTGTAGACCAATCAGAAAGGAAGGGGAGGGGAGACTTGGGATGTATTTTTTTCAAATCCAAGTACCTCTCTGTCTACTCTTTCTGACAAACCTCTAGACCCCCCCCCCATCACTTAAAGAACAAATGACAATATTGCACAACACTTGGATTCGAAGTTAAAAACATTAGCTCCATGACAAAAAACAGATGCCCTTTCATGGGTTTGCACGTGTTGTGAGCATTTGTGCATCTCGCCATGTTTAAAACAGGTTAACAGTGAGGCGTTTTCCCCCTGCTTAGCTACTGGAGCATGATTCCCTTCACTGTCATTGTCGGATGCAAACTGAAAGCAGACTTATAACGCATCCATTTGTGACACTCTAGAATAACACAAATATCTTTGATCTTCATCCAATAACTATGGTCAGTGACTTCTGTAACTCGTGATAGGAAAACATCGTGAGCTACATCACATAATCAGCCTAAACAAATTATTCTCCACTGTTCTTGGAAAACATGTAAAGAGTGTATGTTTTTCTCCTATTACATTTTAACGATGCAAAATGACATTGGGGCATATTATATTGTATATATTATACTATGTACCTATTATACTATGTACCGGACAGTCGTGCGGCACATGGACTCTTAGAAGAAACCCATACAAATTGCTTTCTCTTGCAATGTATTTGTTCACATCTAAAAAAACATTTCTAGTCAGGGTGATGTGCATTTATTCATTAATACACTGTAATGGTGGGACGGCCTAAAATAAATAAATAACACGTTGTTGGTTGACACTTACTGTTTGCGTACGGTCTGCCTTGTCTTCTCGTTCAAACGGATATACTTGCAGAAGTTCAAGTGGATTCAAAATTCATGTAGTAGGCGTGTCGGCGTAGTGACGTCACTACCCGACACGCCTACTACTCGACACGCTCCGTACTGAAAGCCGCAGACAGACCCTTCTCGTTTCCTTCGCTGCGGCACCAGAGCCTTCCTCAGTAGTGGAAGCCTGGAGGTATTTTGGGCAGGCCGTCCAGACAGGGGGGTGCGAGGCCCTGTGCGAACTCGAAACGCGAGGCCCTGCCCTGACACTTTTTTCCCAGATCTGAGGAAATGTTTTTTCTGTTTTAACTCTGTGACATGAAGTTCAGCACCACCTCGCGCCGTGCTTGACGCGATCAGCACGCGCGTAAACGAGTGTCTTCGCTTCCTATGCGCGTTTGGCGCGCGCAGTACACCGCACACACACTCTACGTGCAATATTGGTCGCGGTCTTTTTAGCTGACATGTCTCTTTCGTCCTGTGGCAAAATGGTTAGAGAACTCAAAAGATTGAACCAAAGGAGTCTTTTTCTTCTATAGTTAGATTGGGCAAAATGCGCCAAAATGGCTATGAGGCGGAGTCAATATTATTATTTTTCATCAAATACACTTTTTGCCCATGCCTCCACACACTCTGACAAACTCACCACATCCTCCTCCTCCAACTGGAACAACAACAAAATACTCTTCACCTCCTCCTCCACACACTCTGCCCCCCCCCCCCCCCAAACAAAAACACTCCAGCTAGCTAAAGTAGTCATACAGTGTGTTTGCTAATGGCTTTTAAACAATATGTTTTTGATGTGGATTTCGGACTAAACCTTGGCAATAGCAGCGCTCACACACCTGTCCCACACGCTGATCCTCCTCCTCCTCCTCTGCTACACATAAAGGGTCTGACTCTCTGCTCACACCTGTATCATGCTCCTCTCACTCCTTTCCTACTCCTCTCTGCTCACTCTAAGGGGTCTGCTCCTCTGTCCACCTGTATCACTGGCTCCTCCTCCTCTCCTCATCCTCCTCCTCTGATCACACAAGGGGTCTGTCCTCTGCTTCACACCTGTCTTCATCGCTCCTCATCCGCGGAGCTACTGCATTCTCCTACTCTGCGATCATTCCCGTTACTTTTTTGTATTCTCACTCCAGGACTGCTCTAAGTTAGCTGAAGTTTTTGGCGGTGGGACCCCGTTGATAAATAGCTGCCCGCGGCCGCGCCTGCCTGTTTACTAATCAGCTTTTGGTTGAAAATTTGACTTACTTGTAAAAAATGTTCTTTTGATCAAAGCGAAAATCAAAGAGGGTCTCAAGAGAAAGGGGTTTAGGGTTCCAAATTTGGAGTGCAGTCTGCCCTTTGGGGACCCTTGAACTAGTGTTGTATTTATAATAATTAAAATAAACGGAAGGAAGATTGCGGGCCCCTGTGTGAGTGCAGAGGCCCTGTGGCCGGCAACCCACAGTCGCGCACAGCCCTTAGGACGGGCTGATTTGGGAGAGGGTTTAATCAAGAGAGGGCATTATTTTATTTTACTAACTTCAACAAAAATGATAAATAGACTGTATCATTGGACCAAAGGCATGGAGTATAAACCCCTCCGATTCAGTAGGTTGGCAGTATACGGCAATATTGATTCTTACCCGCCATTAAAGAAACAGAAGCAGCTCCATCAGTCTGCGCGATGCGCCTCGCTCAGTCTTTGTCATAGCGTTGAGGAGGTGGTACACGTTTTTTACACTCTACATGATTTCGGTTTTAATAATTAGAAAACTGTTGACATATCCAAATTAAAATGTTATTTATGTGGTTACAATATGCAATGTACAAGTCAGAGCCTTTTGAATCCATGTTTTAAGTCTGTTAGTTTACAGGGATGGGAAGACGGAATGTTTAAGTGAGTGTGCAGGCCTTAAGCCTAGTGTGTCTACTGTAGGTTTATTTGATAGTGTTAGTATTACTCTGTCTGCTAAATCCTGACCATAGTTTTATGGCTTCATTATTTTATAAGTCATTTCAAACCTGTGAGCGTTGAATAAAGACACAGTTCTTGTTGGAATCATAGTTTATTATTTTAAACTGTTTTTCAGCACAAACAGCAAAACAATCATAGTGGAAATACAATACGGAGTGTATATATGTGTAGATATAAGTTATATATATGGTAGATATAAGTTATATATATGTTAGATAGTCCACAGTTCCTGTATTCAGGCTCTCGAGCTCCAAACTGCTATTCTTCGAAGCACAAAGCTCTTGCTCCATTAGTGCCTCGTCCATGCTCCTGCTGCAGCCGCTCCTGTGCTTTCTTCAATACACACACACGGGACCATCACTGCGGAGCTTCCTTGCGGCGGACCCTTAATAGGAAGCAATATGTAAAAATCTGGCCAAAGGTGGTTCTTGCAGTCAAAGTACAATATTTTGTAGTCCTCCTCACTCTCCACCCTGACTCAGGTTGCTGATCTCACACCAAATCCAGCAGCAACACAGGGAAATTATTTTATCAGTTGTGTGTCCGTCTCCATTCACATAGCCATGACAGCGGGTCGTGCTAATGCTGAATGAATGTTTTGATTATGTTTTTGTATTATTAATATTTGGACATTTGAGTAAAAACAACACAAAATAAAAAGCAATGTAACTTTACATAGTTTATGCAAAATAAATAAGCAATTGATGTTTCAAAATAGGTGTGGGAAGAATGGATGTTGGACCGTATTTCTTAAGCGTATCAACATACAGGTTGCTCAAGAGGATATCACCTTTCATTTTATTATTCCCTAAAATGTAAAAAAGTCCCCATCAACAAAGAGACTAAACATTATTTTAATTGGGTCATTGTCTTAAACTGATTATTTTTACAATTAAGTCATAATCTGGCAAAAACGTCTCTTGACCTTCATCTTTTACCGTTTTTTAGAGCAATCTGTCATAGAATGGTGATAGACATGCAATAAATACAAAAAGACTAGCCGGATCGAACGGGGTTCCCTCATCGTAAGCGCACAGTTTAGACCACCTAGAGTCTAGTGGTTCCAAAGTGGGGGTCATGACCCCCACGGGGGGTCGCGGGAACCCCTGGGGGGGTCGCAAGATGATTTCCACACAAAAAAGACTAGAATATATTTTAATAACGTTTAGTAAATTTTGTCCGAGTCATTGCGAGCGTCATCAAAATCATCACGTAACACAGCTCACATGCGCAGCGACAAAGCGGTCCTGCTGTTGTTTGCTAAAACTAAAGGTGTTTGGAGGCTACAAATAAATACATACTGCTTTAAATGAAACGTGGTTATTATAATCTACAACAGGAAAAACCCGGTGGGGGAGAAAAGTCAATTGTATTCAGGGGCTGTAGCGTGCCGAAGGAGGGAGTGGGAGCGGCGAGGAGGGAGAGAGGGCAAGGAGGAGGGAGATGTAGGGCGAGGAGGGAGGCATGAGGACTGGGAGAGAGGGCAGAGGAGGGAGGGAGGAGGGAGGGAGGGCAGAGGAGGGAGAGAGGGCAGAGGATGGGGGGAGGACAGAGGAAGGAGGGAGGGAGAGGAGGGCAGCGGAGGGCGTGGTGCAGCGGAGGGAGGAGGGCAGAGGAGGGAGAGAGGGAGCGGAGGGAGAGAGGGCAGCGGAGGGAGAGAGGGCTGAGGAGGGGGGGCGAGGACGAGGGGGAGAAGAGGGCAGATGGAGGGAGAGAGGGCAGCGGTTTGTTAGAACAGCGCGTTTAAAAGAGGCCGCTTTTCGGAGTCAAAGTAAAAGAGAGGTCCGCAACATTAAAAGCCGGGTGGCCGGTTTATGCCTTTACTGACAGTAACTTTGGAAAGAGAAGCCGCGGGGATGAAACCGCATAATGTAACAGCAGAAAGCGGCCACCCGCTTTAATGTGCGGGACCTCTTTACCGCCTGGAATCCGGAAAGCCGGGGCCTCTTTAACGCCGCTGTTCTACCGCTGCCCTCTCTCCCTCCGCTGCCCTCTCTCCCTCCTCTGTCCTCCTCTCCCTCCTCTGCCCTCTCTCCCTCCGCTCTGCCCCTCTCCCTCCCGCTGCCCTCTCTCCCGCCCCTCTGCTCCCTCCCTTCCCACCGCTTGCCCTCCTCCGCTGGCCTCTCTACTCCCCTCCCTCCTTGCCTGCTGTCCGCCCTCCCTCCTCTGCCTCTCTCCCTCCTTGCCCTCCCTCCCGTCCCTCCCTCCTCTGCCCTCTCGTCCCTCCTTCTGCCTCCCTCCTCTGCCCTCTCGCCCTCCTCTGCCCTTCTCCTCCTCTGCCCTCTCTCCTCTCTTCGCAACCATCAGCCCTGATACATGTGACTTTTCACCCCATCCGGGTTTTTCTGTTGTAGATATTAACCACGTTTCATTTTAAAGGCAGGTAAATATTTATTTGTAGCCTCAAACACCTTTAGGTTTTAGCAAACAACTAGGCAGGACACGCTTTGTCGCTGGATCGTGAGCTGTGTTACGTGTGATTTTGATTGACGCTGCAATGACTGGACAAAATACTAACGTTGATTTAAAATATATTATAGACTGTTTTGTGTGGAAATCATCTTTGCCGACCCCCCAGGGGTTCCGCGACCCCCCGGGGGGTCAGGACCCCCACTTTGTGGAACCACTAGACTCTAGTGGTCTAATGGTGCGCTTAGAGTGCAGGAACCCGGGTTCGTTCCGGGCTATGTCTTTTTGTATTTTATTGATGTTATCACATTTCTATGACTGATGCTCTAAAAACGGTAAAAGATGAAGGGTCAAGACGTGTTTTTTTTTTGCAGATTATAGGTAATTGTAAAAATAATCATTTAAGACCCATGTACCCCAATAAACTAATGGTTAGTCTCTTTTTGATTGGGACTTTTACATGTTAGGGAATTAAAATAAAATGTAAAGGTGATATCACTCTTGAGCAAACCCTGATGTTTGATACGTCTGAAGAAATACGTTCCAACATCCATTTCTTCCCACCTCTATCTTGGAACATCAATTGCTAATTTATTTTGCATAAAATGTATAATTTACATTGCTTTTATTTTGTTTTGGTATTTATCTCAAATGTCCAAATAATAATAATAAAAAAAACATTAATCAAAAACAGTCATTCCAGCATTAGACGGCTTGTCATGGCAATGTGAATGGAGACGGACAAACAACTGATAAAATAATTCCCTGTGTTTGCTGCTGGATTGGTGTGAATTTCAGGCAACTGAGTCAGGGAGAGTGAGAGAGGACTACAAAATATCTGACTGTGTCTTGCAGTACCACTTTGGCCAGATTTTTACATATTGCTCCTTAAGGGTACGCCGCAAGGAAGCACCGCTGTGATTGGTCCGTGTGTGTGTATTCGGAAGGAAGCACGGAGCGGCACTGCTGAGGAGCTATGGACGAGGGCCTATGGAAGCAGAGAGCTTTGTGCTTCGGAAGGAAAAGCAGTTTGGGCTCAGAGCTGAATACAGGAGGACTGTGGGACTAGTCTAAACATATATATAACATATAATCTAACATATATATAACTTATATCTAACATATATACACTCGTATTGTTATTACACTTATTATTGTTTTGCTGTTTGTGCCTGAAAACTGTTAATAATAACTATGATTTCCAACAAGAACTGTGTCTTTATTCACCGCATCACAGTTTGAAATGTACTTATAAAAAAAAGAATCCCATAAAACTATTGTCAGGATTTAGCAGGACAGAGTAATACTAACACTATCTCATAAAACCTACAGTAGAAACTCTAAGGTTAAAGGCCTGCCACACTTAAACTTCCGGCTTCCCATCACTGTAATACTACAGACTTAAAACATGGATTCAAAGGCTCTGACTTGTACATTTGGATTTGTAACAACATAAAATAACATTTTAATTTGGATATTCAAAGTTTTCTAATTATTAAATAACCGAAATCATGTTGAGTGTAAAAAAAACGTGACCCACCTCCTCAGGACGCTAGCAAAGATCTGAGCGAGGCGCAAGCGCAGACTGATGGAGGCTGCTTGTGTTTCTTTAATGGGGGCTAAGAATCAATCTAAGCCGTATTATGCCAACTACCTGAATCGGAGTGTTATACTCCATGCCTTTGACCAATGTACAGTTATTTATCATTTTTGTTGAAGTTACGAAATAAATAATGCCCTCTCTTGTTATAACCCCTTCCCAAAATCAGGCCCGTCCTAAGGGCTTGTGCGACCTGTGCCGTCGCACAGGCCTCGCACCACACAGGGGCCTCGCCAAATCTCCGTTCCTTTTATTTTTATTTTTATAAAAACACTAGTTCAAGGGTAACCCAAAGGGCAGACTGCACTCCAAAATTTGGGAACCCTAAACCCTTTCTCTGGACTCTTTGATTTCGTTTTGATCAAAGAACATTTTTAAGTAAAGCAAATTTTCACCAAATGCGACTTTGTAAACAGGCAGGCCGCCGCGCGGGGGCAGCTATGTGATGCAAACGGTGTCCTTCCGAAAAAAACTGTCAGATAATTTTAGCAGGGTCTGAGTTTTGAGATACAAGAAGTAAACGGGACCAGGATCGCCAGTGTAGGGAGAGACTGGATACTCGCGGAGGAGGAGCAGTTGAGACAGGTGTGAGAGAGAGCAGACCCCTTTGTGTGAGCTGGGGAGGAGGAGGAGGGAGGAGGGGAGGAGCAGTGATACAGTGTTGTGAGCAGAGGAGCAGACCCTTTGTGGTGAGCAGAGGAGGAGGAGGAGGAGGAGGAGGAGGAGCGTGATAACAGGTGTGAGCAGAGGAGCAGTCCTTTGGGTGAGCAGAGGAGGGAGGAGGAGGATCAGCGGAGGGGTGGTTGTCGCGGTTTTATCTTTTTTTTTGTTCTGTGACAGGTGTGTGAGCGTGCTATTTGCCTATGTTTTAGTCGAATATCCACATCCAAAAACATATTTTTAAAAGCATTAGCAAACACAGTGTCATGTCTAGCTTTAGCTAGCTGAGTGTTTTTGTTGTGGTCAGAGTGTGTGGAGGAGGAGGTGAAGAGCTATTTTGTTGTTTGTCGTGTGGGAGGCGGACGGAGTGTATGTTGTCAGGTGTGTGGAGGCATGGCAAAAACGTATTTGATGAGAAAAATAGATAATATTGACTAACGCATCTTAGCCATTTTCGGCCGCATTTTGCCCAAATCTAACTATTAGAAGAAAGACTCCTTTTGGTTCAACTCTTTTGAGTTTGCTCTCTACATTTTGCCACGGACGAAGAGTCAGGTCAGCTCCAAAAAGACCGCGACCAATATTGCAAACGTAGAGTGTGTGTGCGTTGTCGGTGTGTACGTGCAGCGCGCCAAACGCTGCTAGGAGCGAAGACACTCGGTTACCGCGCGTGCTGAATCTCGTCAAGCACCGCGCGGGTGGTTGCTGGATTCTGTCAAAGATTATAACAGGGAAAAACTTTCCTCAGATTGGAAAAAGGTGGTCAGGGCGAGGGGCCTCGCGTTTCGAGGTTCGCACAGGGCCTCGCCACCCCCTTGGGACGGGCCTGCCCAAAATACCCTCCATGCTCACTACTGTGGAAGGCTCTGGGCGCAGCGAAGAAACTCGAGAAGGGTCTGTCTGCGGCTTGCCAGTACGGGGCGTGTCGAGTAGTAGGCGTGTCGGGTAGTGGACGTCACTACCGACACGCTATACATGAATTTTTGAATCCACTTGAACTTAGCAAGTATATCCGTTGAAGATAAGACCTGGCCAGACGTACGCAAACAAGTAAGTGTTCCAACCAACAAGTGTTTTATTTTATTTTTAGGCCGTCCCTCCAGTTACAGTGTATTAATGAATTAAATGCACATCCTACCCTGATAGAAATGTTTTTTAAGAAGTGCACTAATACATTGCAGTGAAAGCAATTTGTATGGGTTTTTCTAAGAGTCCATGTATGCCATGACATGTCAGGTACATAGTATAATAGGTACATAGTCTAAGTATATACAATATTAATATTGCCATGTATTTTGCCATCGTTTTTAAAATGGTAATAGGATGAAAAAATACTCCCTTAAGGTTTTTCCAAGACAGTTGGGAATTAGTTAGGCATTTTGTGATGTAGCTCACGATGTTTCCTATAACTAGTTACATGAAGTTCACTGACCATAGTTATGGATGACATGTTCCAAAAGATATTTGTGTTTCTGAGTGTGCATCAAATGGATGTTTACGTCTGCTTTTCAGTTGCATCGACTCATTGTCAGTGATGGGAATAATGCTCCAGTGCTGAAGCAGGGGAACACGCTCACGTGTGTACCTGTTTTAAAACATTGGCGGAGAGCACAAATGCTCACACTGTGCAAAACCCTTGAAAGGGCATCCTGTTTGTCACGGAGCTTATGTTTTAACTTCCGAATCCAGGGAGTTGTGCAATATTGTACATTTGTTCTTTAAAGTGATTGTCTAGAGTTTGTCAGGAAAGATGAGACAGAGAGGTACTTGATTTGAAAAAAAAAAACAAACCCAAGCTCCCTCCCCTTCCCTTTCTGGTATTGGTCTACACGCTTCTTACCGGAAGTATAGCCATGAAACATTTTTTTTTAAAGTTTGATTTTTTTTTAAATTGTTTGTTTTACATTAGTTAGGCCCGAGCGCCACCAGGCTGGCCACTGGGACTATTGTAATGGAAAGTGTGCATAAAACACTGAAACCCCTCAAACATAATCATGTCATGGTACATGATTCCTGGACGTACACTGTACTAAAACTCTGCATTGAAACATTGTTGATGTACAGAGGACCATAAAGTCATCAAGCTGCAAGTCACTGACATTATATTAAACGGACACAAACACCTTTTAGGGCTGCATTTGGTTTTGTGAACTGTTGTTGTGAATGTAAACACATTTTACTCTTATCTAGGTGACAGTTCACACTCTGGCCGAGGCATTTCACCTGCCCTCTGCAAGAGGGCCAATTAAAATTCATAAAGGGGCCAAAGTCGAGTGAACCATGGTAAGATTATTTAAATATTGATAGGCAGTATTTCACTGTGCCACTGCACAATCTAATCTGTGCTTGTTCATTTCATGGACAGTGAGTTTCAAATGATTGCAAATGATATGGTGAGGCATTTTACAGAGGAGGCAGCCAGGAGGCTGAAAGCTTTCAAGAGAATGGAGATTGGCGCTTCTCTTCCTCTGAGCTTTTCTCTCATGATTATAATAAAAGAGATTTTGTTTTGTGTTGAATATCCTATTCAGTGGTTACATTTCAGAGCCATTCAGATAACACAAATCGATAAAAATAAGCCATTGTACATAAAATGCCAGAAACACATTTTGTGCTTTTTGTTTAATCTCCCTCTTCTACATAC